AAGTGCGAGTGGTGTAGCTGTGATTGCGGAATCTAGTGGCTTTGTTGTGAGACGAGAAAGTGAGTCTGCTCTGATATTTGCAAATTATTCATTTCCACCCTGGAAACTGCTGGAAAAAATAAGTGCATCAGTTTTCATTGGAAGCATGAACTTTGGCAGCTCAGATTTCTCTGGAAAATTTTCAGTCTTTTTCAAAACAACATGCAGGCGGTTTTTCAGTTCTGTTATTTCTGAATAGCGGTAATGGCACGGTACTGGATATGATTGTTACCGTGAAATCCTAGGGCTTGATACTATGTGTTCTTACAATGTGCAATCACCTGCTGCCCCTCTATTGTACTTTCTCAGGGAAGCAGATACTTTAACATCTATGGCTGCTTGATCATTCAACTCTCTGCCCGACAGTGTCAGATTTTTGAACAATTAATTTTTCATTTGTAAAGGCTGCAAGAAAATTTTGGTTTCAGAAAGTGAAAGTACCGTGCCTATTTATTTTACCGTACTTCTGTTGCCGGTGATCATTGTTGTTGCTTTTTTGTTCCATCTATTCATTTACATTGTGAATAAACCTATTGCAGTATTGTTTTGTATTAATAGCTCTAAATTTGGCGACAGAATAACATGCTATTGTGTGACTGTTTGCTAATTTAGTGAGTTGTTGTTTATCAGTGAAATTAACTTTTGCATTTCAAATAAGACCAAATTGTTCCATTTCCCCTTTTTTGTCGGATATTAAATTGTTTCCATTTATCCCTAGCAGTGAAAAACTAACATGTGTTTTCAATAAGACAAGGGTATCATGCTACATACCTTTGTGAGGAAAACAAGTATAAAGTTATAGCTGTTTGTGTGAAAAGTGAAATTGTCACGTTTGCTTCTTCAATGTATTGTTTAATTTTTTAAATCAAAATTCAAAGCATTTTGACAAATGTCAGTCATGAGTTATCTTTGGACCTTGACTAAAACCATACTGACATGAAACATACACACTGCTACTGTCTGTTCATATTCTTCAAGGAGGAAAGTCCTAGCTGACTTCCAGGGTCAATACTGTGAATGGCAGGGGCCAGGACCTCTGTGACTTCTCTGTGTCACAGCTGTATATTGCTCTCTGCACTCTCTGAGGTTGTCTCACTAGTTTATATTTAATATTCTTTCAAGATTTACCTGATTATTAATTACATCTATAGTGAATTGATAATACCTTTCTTATGGTTGCAGGACATCCACATACTTGCACTTTAACAAAGGATATAGTGGTGATATTTTTTTACTGTGGCTAAGAAAAGTGATATTTTCTTATATACTACATTAATGTTTGGACACATCAATGGTTGTTACATGACACTTGACATTCCATTGTACCAAAATGACAATATCTGTACGTGGAGGGACCAGTGGAGATGTGGTGGCCCCAAACAGTACTA